CCCAAGCATAACCTAATATTTCTCTTACATTGCCTTTCAAAAACTCTTTCCAATACCAATTACCGAGCCCTCTGAACTTTGCTAATTAGAAATCATATCGAAACTGATATAGTAAAATATTAAACAACAGTAGCACTGCACCACATTGTAAAAGGATAAGCCTCATATAGTGTTCCTGTTGGTGCAATATCAAGTACTTAGCACTTTGGGTTCTGTTTGTACTCCTGTTTCCTAACTTGAGATTTATTGGCCAAAATAAATTGTCCAAAAAGTTCCAAGTGTGGATAGAAGTTTAAAGGACGAGGTGCTTATAGAACTGAAATTCCTGGAATGCATCCAGAAAGATGTAAAACAAGCAATTAAAATCCTCTTGTCAACATGGTTTTGTCTTTACTCATCCAAGTTCTAGAGACAAATTGATGGCATTGATTTTTGGGTCCAATAGGATGATAAGGTTGATTTCAAGGGGGTAAGAAGATAGAACATGATACTACAAGCCTTATTAATTTGGGAAAATCTATGATGCACAAAAGATATTGTATGGAAAGAGTTTTGGCCAATCAAAATCCACCCATGAATTTTAATAAATAACACCATATTTGCTACCACGTTTATAATTCCAGTTTATTGGTCAATTGTTTTTTGTATATCATATCTTTTCCATATCATAGTCGAACCCTATTAGTATATATCCAATCAACCCAATTAATTATAAATGAGTAGATAAGATAAAATTAAATTTTCAACAGGGCCGACCCCTCAGAGTTCGACGTGCCAGCCAGCCAGCCGCCGAGGACCGTCTGACCTCCTAGCCGAAGAGGGGAAGAATCTGCATAGTCTCGCGATTACTACCAAGACCAAGAACATCACCACCGCCGCTGAACCCGACCCTCATATAAAAGTCCGAAGCCTGGGCCCAAGCCCAATCAGAAATTTGAAAAGAGATTTTTTTTCTTTTTTTATTCAATAAAAAGGTATTTTAAAAATTGTATATATATATATATATATATATATATATTAAACAAAATATGTTTTTTATTATTTAATATATATTATCAAGTCGAGCTCAAACTCAGGCTTAGTTATTCCTCTCATGTAATTAAACTGCCCTGGAAGACGTCTGCCTCAACAGACGTCAGGGACTGGGTAAGCATCTTCCTTTACTTACTCTAAACACAGTGTAAAGAAACTCGACCTCGTCAATATATTATAACCTGCGCCCATTTGTTCTAATCCACAGTCAAAAATCAACATCAATTTCCAACTATTATATTTACATCAAATTTAATACTCCAAGATCAACTAGACCCACAGTCAAAAATCGATCACACCAAACTTTGAAAAGAATTCATAAATAATTTCACAATCAGAGAAAGTTTCAAGAAAGAAGCTTGGAACACAAGAAAAAGTAACCCCATGAATCACTATAAAGCAATGCTGTAGTGAACTAGAAGGCCATCCRTATCCAGCTCAAGATATCTTAAAATGGGRGAAGTGAAGTTGTTTGGCCTTTGGKYWAGCYCATATGTTTACAGAGTCATTTGGGCTCTGAAACTGAAGGGGATAGAGTACGAATACATAGAAGAAGATCTGTCCAACAAGAGTGAATTGCTTTTGAAGTATAACCCAGTTCACAAGAAGGTCCCTGTGCTTGCTCATGACGGAAAACCAATTGCGGAGTCGCTCGTTATCTTGGAATACATTGACGAGACATGGCCGGAGAATCCATTGCTACCCAAAGACGCAGAGCAGAGAGCTGCAGCTCGATTTTGGGCAAAATTTGCTGAGGATAAGGCAAGTATAAAGTATAAGTAGTTGAAGATCTTGTTTTTAAGTGTAATCGAATACAAGGGTTCAATTGAAAATGCAAGTTTTCAATCCCCGCTTGCACTAATTAGCTGAGCCTTAGTCAAATATACACCTTGCAATAGAAATTTGAACCAGACTAAGGGGTGCAAGTCAGATGGGCTGCGTCAGCTTTAATCTGAGGCCCAACCTTAAGAATTGGGTCCAAGGCCTGAGTCCGGACTGAGCCTGATGGCAAGCCTAATTTGTCTAACCTAGGCTTAACCTATACTGAAATTTGATGCACTTTGGTTAGATTCAGGCCTGGACTGGGTTTGGGTTGGTCAATTAACCCAAACTAAAATTTGATATAAATACATGTGCATGTGTACAAATGTATGTATATATGCACATATATGTCTTTATATGCATAAATGCATGTATATAGTGGAAATAGGTTCAGGTATGGATAGGGTTGGACCAGGTTTGGGCTACCTATGAGCTAGGCCTGGGCCCAATCCAAAAATTATGAAAAATAAAAAGACATACTCTTGAGACCAAACCCATCCTGAGAAGAATTCTGGCCTGCGTCGGTCCAGGCTCGGGTTGAGCCTGCCCAAGTTATGCCCCTAACTTTCGGACCAGGCTCCTTCAAATTTTAACAAATCCTCAGTCATCACCTGCCGAATTGGGATCTGCTCTCACAGAAAACGCTCATCAGCCACATCCCAAGATGTATTGAGAACATCTTTGTGGCTGGTACATGCTATGAGATCGGTGCGAGGAGCAGATCCGGACTCGAGCCCGCCCAAATTGCACTGCTAAATTCATGCTCACAAGATGAATTTATTTAGAAAATGGTGGCTGATGTACAAATAACCATTCTTATGCAGGGAGCATGTTTTATGACATTCTTCCGTTCCAGTGGTGAAGAACAAGAGAAGGCAAGGAAAGAATGCTTGGAAATGCTGAGAATGGTAGAAGAATATGGTGGGCTTGAAGAGAAGAAGTTTTTTGGTGGGGACACAATTGGATTGGCTGACCTGGCCTTTGGTGGGGTTGCTTGCTGGTTGGGAGTGATGGAGGATATAGTAGGAGTGAAGTTGGTGGAAGCTCATACCTTCCCTCGTTTGTATGCATGGATTCACAATTTCAACCAAGTGGGTGTGATCAAAGAGAACCTGCCTGATCGTGAGAAGATGCTTGTTTTTTTCAAACGCAGGAGAGAAATTCTTTTGGCATCTGCATAATCTTCACCGTATTTATGGGTTGCATACATCTATGTTTTCCTTAATTAGTCTATTACTTTGGCTTTTCCCTTTGAATAAGGACTCCCCATATATTTAGTGTATTTGAGGTTTCATTTTGAATAAGAGATGTAATTGTGGCACATCCCATTTCTTATTAGGGTTCTAAACGGTATCTCATTGTTCAAATTCAAATTTGAATTCAATCCCATTAAGGCTTAGTTTTGAAAGAGTACAAATATAAATTTGTAGAGTGTAAAACCTTATGTTTTGTATTATTGTATACGTATTTGCACTGTACATATTTATATTTGTACTCTTTCCAAACTGAGCACAAGGGTGGAAGTACCCCCCTATACTGTTTTGGTTTGGAATGAGTATTCTCGTAAATTTTCAGTTTACCATTACACTTGTTAACCGGGTACGACTGAAGTTTTGGAATTATATGGAAAACCAAGACTGGTTGTGGGGAAAAATAGCTTTGGTACCTCTAGAAAAACAGAAGTGATTCAATTTTCAATAACCTTAAATTATTTTCCCATGAAATAGTATCAAAAGCTCTGGCGAGAATAGAGGAGTATGTATGCCAATACCACTTCATTAGGCACTAGTGAAAAACCCCCAAAGCCCATGATCTGGATAATAAATTTGGGTAAATTATAGATAGATATCCTGTACTTTAGGGGTAGTGATAGATAAGTACCTTAAACTTTCAATTGTAACACTTGAATGTCCTTAACTTTAAAACATAGACACATAGGTCCATCCATTAGTATTCCGTCAATTTAGCATTACATAATGCCAAAAAAATAAACCCTTATCGTGTATTTCTGAGATCATTCACAAGTAATTCTCAAGTAACCAAACGTCTCCCCATGGTGACGTTTTCACATGAACAACAAATAGCATATTCAAATTTTCCGACAACGGCATTCTCTAATGATGATTTTACTCTACAGAATGATTTCAAAAATATATGAGAAAGGTATTTTTGACATTATGAAATGATTAACTAACGGATGGAGGTAAGTGTCTATTTTTGAGAGTTTAAGGTACTCAAATGTTGCAATGGATATCTATATGCCACTACCCCTAAAGTACAAGGTATCTATATATAATTTACCTAATAAATTTAGATGCTTTGAGCAAGAACAATGATTGGCAGATGTGCCTTTGTGCCTTAGTGGACATATCATTAAAACAAAAATTTGGAACCTAGGAACTTTTACGATTCTAATAGTTGAACTATAGAACTATAGGCTGCCTTTGAAGCCCTTGCCTTGCAGGTGAACAGTAAATCTAGGATCATCTAGGGAGACTCATTGTTGGTGATTAATTAAAGGGTTTTTATAGATCAGTCCACCCCTAGAAGTGTCGATCTCTCATGTGGAGAATTGTAAATTGTGAAACCTCACCTCGCCTTCACCTATCATCTACCACCACACGTATCCAGAACCAGAAGGAAACTCTGCAGCTGACTAGCTTGCAAACAAAACAAAGGTCAAGACCCAAAATGAAGGAAACTCTGCAGCTGACTAGCTTGCAAACAAAACAAAGGTCAAGACCCAAAATGAAGACTTCTCTGGCTCCTACTCTTGGGACTTAGCTCGATCTGTCAGGTCTCTCCCTCTCCACGAAGGAAATTGCAGTGTACACAAATTAGGCCTGAGATCCAGAATTTTGCGCTTCCTTTTAATGGTCCTTGGCATATCCAAGCCATCAAAAACAAGCTTTGGGCATATGCCTCAACAGACGTCAGGGACTGGGTAAGCATCTTCCTTTACTTATTCACTCTAATTTTTTAAATATTATAATTTAATTTCCAAGAAAAAGACAAACTCCAAGATCTACTACACCCACAGTCAAAAATCGATCACACCAAACTTTGAAAAGAATTCATAAATTGTTTGGCAATCAGGGAAAGTTTCAAGAAAGAAGCTTGGAACACAAGAAAAAACAACCCCGTGAATCCCATTTCTTTACAGAGTCATTTGGGCTCTGAAATCGAAGGGGATAGAGTACGAATACATAGAAGAAGATCTGTCCAACAAGAGTGAATTGCTTTTGAAGTATAACCCAGTTCACAAGAAGATCCCTATGCTTCTTCACAATGGAAAACCAGTTGCAGAGTCGATGATTATCCTGGAATACATCGACGAGACATGGCCGGAGCATCCATTACTACCCAAAGATGCACAGGAGAGAGCCACAGCACGATTCTGGGCAAAATTTGCCGAGGACAAGGTAATTATATACATACTAGCTTCTTCATTTAAAAAGCAATGAATTAAGCTGAAATTGCAAGCTTTCAAGCTCTGCTTACATTCACTTTTCAATTTATTGAGATCGGATCAAACTAAGTTTGCGTTCACCTTTCAGAATTTGTGTCTTCAAAGAAAAAACTTAAAAACGCTTCCAAGACTTCTTGTCATCACATTTTTGTTTACAACAGCCCAAAGATTGAAAGCAGAAAAACATAATAGTTTAAAGCCTGACGCTTATCCAAACGCAACGTTAACCTGAGTTCATGACCCAGGATGACTTTATTAATTAGCATATAATGCCTGATGTGTTGGGGTTTTATTTGTTTAATGTAGGGCATATGCGTATGGAAATTCTTCCATTCTAGGGGTGAAGAACAAGAAGAGGAAGCCAAAAAAGAAATCTTGGAAATGCTGAGAAGCAGAGAAGAGCATGGGCTTGGAGAGAAGAAATTTTTGGGTGGTGACACAATTGGATTGGTCGACCTGGCCTTCTTTGTTGTTGCTCACTGGTTGGGAGTGATTGAAGATGCAAGGGGCGTGAAGCTGTTGGAAGCTCAAAAATTCCCTCGACTGGATGCATGGATTCATGATTTCAAGGAAGTGGGTGTGATCAAAGAAAACCTGCCTGATCCTGAGAAGATGTTTGCCTTTTTCAAACGCAAGAGGGAGATGATCCTGGCATCTGCATGACTACAGTGCTGTGTAGTTCAACTGCTCAACTCATATGGGTTCCTTTAATTYTATGTTCTCCATTCTCTATGTTTATCTATGTGAATAATAAAGAGGACTCTTGGTTGTTTTTAGGCTAAAATTTATTATCCCATCAACAGAAAAGAATAAATAACTGGCTGATGACCCAGTAATTGATGGTCAGTCTACATCCCTCTAAGGGAAGTTTGAAACTGTGGCCGTTTTTCAAAAAACGGTATCACGTCGGATCTATATAGGTGTTTCAACAAATGCCTTTACATTTCATTATTTGGTTCAGGTGTTTATTGAAAAATCGGGTATGTTTCGTAAATCAGGATTCCACCGATGTATGAAAGGTTAAATTTGGTGTTTCAAGTATTAATGAACCATTTCCTCCAACGGTTGATATATCCTATGTGGTGTTTATCTGTTAGCACATATATGAAAAACGGTGATTAAAATCACCTTACCAAACAGCATAGTGTTGCTCACTGCCTATGATCAAATATAAATGAGTAGATAAGATAAAATTAAATCATGATGATCTCTTAATCAATAATCGATCCAAACTCAGCCCACTAACGTAGGAAAAAAGAACACGCAATGATCGAGAAAGAAGTCAACAAGAAATTCAAGAAACGTACTGAAAGATGATCTACGCATATGGGGTATTAAAAAGAAAAACACGTAGCCATTATAAGACCAGTTTTGTTTTCAAGAAAGAAGCCAAACCAACAAGAAATGAAGTAATAAGAAAATCTTACAAGGTAGAAACTGAGGCTCGGAGCGGTAGACATCAAAATCTTGAACGTCAATTGAAGGCATGTCAATACCCAAAACCTTGGGTCTGAGATAAGAATGGATCAACTCTTCGTCAGTTGGCTGAAATCGATATCCAACAGGAATATCATGTATGGACAACATCCTCTTCTCTTCCATTTCTTTCTGCCTCGATCAATGCTTCCAATTCCAATTCCAATTCCAAGATAACAACGATCGTACGTGACTGAGCTAAGTAATAGCCTCTACCAACTACGTATACTACGTATTTATAAACAAAGAATTGAAAGACGGTGAACCATCAAACAAATGAAAATTATATTCCATCGGATTCGGATCGATGCCCCATTTCGGGTTTTCGGGTCGGATCATACGATTCGCTTAAAATGAATCTAATATTCGGATCACCCGTATGGGAATAGACCATTGGTGTTCCCCTCATGCAGCTGTGGTTGCAGGTGCAGACACTTTCTCGGAACTAAACAACCATTCCTATTCCTGTCTGAACTAAACAAACAGGGAATAAATTATTTCCATTCAAATTCTGAAGGATTTTTGTTCTGATTTCAATTCCAATTTCGATTACGATCCAAACGGACCCTAAATTGTAATTGATATTCCCCACATGAAGCTGTGGCTCCAATTGTAGGGGTGCAAATACTTTCTGGGATCGATTGCCCCATCTCAAGTTTCGGGCCGRATCATATGGTCCGATTAAAATGGATCTAATTCGGATCACCCCTATCCGAAATTGGGGGACAAGGATTTATTCCAAAATTGGGGTYGGGATGGGAAATATGACCCCCACCTCGAATCCACCCCATTGCCATTTTCCCAACCCAAAGCCCGATTTTTGAGCAAGTCTAGCTGTCTAGTTGTCAATYGGTCGYATGGGCTSTCTACTTCAGWCTATTTTGCTAGYTTATCTATAAGCAACTAAACCAACTTRGCAGAATCTTTAGTTCAGCCCTCCCACAGGCCACAACAACTTCTGGCATTCTAAYGTGGAYCCACATGGACAACCTATAACCTATATTTGGTGAAAAATCTGTAGAGCCCAAATTGGTTATCAATCCGTTTTTTGAACTTAGCTTATTTGGAGTGCTTCAAAGATTCTGAACCAACCTAGCTTAGCTGAATCTCTAACTCAACCCTTAGCCCCATTTGTTTTTCAACTAAATTAGGGGAGGGGGAGTTGGTCAACAGGAAAGTAGTTCTCATTGACCAACAATTTCATGTTCTTTTAGTTTTTCCAATAAACCACAGGTCCCTAGGAAATAAAAGAACATGGCTAATTGCACTTATTCAGATAACCTTACCTTGGTAAATGAAAATCCAATGGGGCCTTACAAGAAACTGTAAAATGACTATTTATTTGATCAAAGTAATTAAAAAATAATAGAAATGACATTTTGAAATAAAGAAAATAAAATAAGGCAGTACAGAATAGGGTATGAGACTATTTTGTAGAATTTTAACAAAAATAATAAAAAGTATGAAATTGTAGAAGACACGCCAAGCTGGTTGATGTGTTGAGGAATCGTCGACAATCTTCTTGAGCCTCAAGCTGAGCATTCTCTAACTGAGACTGAAGGGACTCCATATCGGCCTTCATCTTTGCAGTGTTTTGCTCCAAAGTGATGGCTCGATGAAATAGAGCTTGGCCCATGAAGTTCACCTACAGGAGAGAATAATTAGCATGAAATAGATGCACAAGCGAGCTTTCGAAGTATGGAAGCACTTACCGATAATGCATGACAGAACATCATCGCACCAAGCTCGCCGGTGTCCTAGTGGTTGTAACACCTGGCGTCTTTGGGGAGAAGAATATCACCACTCATTTTGAGCGCGTTGCGAGGATCCCATACCCGATTTGTAGTAGTGGCCTTCCAATTCGGGATGTAACTGGGGTCATGCGAACTAGAGCCCTTGGGAACGGAGCTAGGGGTGTGTAAGAAGTTCCTGGCAGAGCAAGCTGGTCCGACCTGGTTTGAGAAGTGGGGTCAGTGAACTTAGGATTGGCGCTTTCATCGTCAATGTCCACCACATCGGGATCTTCCTTAGTTTGGTTCTCTAATAGAGTTCAGGTGAAACTGTCCTAGGGAGATGTTGTAAGGGCCCATGGCTCCAAGGGTATTGACTCTCACCGTGCTAAATATAACCATAAGTAGTGGGAATCTGGAAAGTCATCATTAAGGCTACAATTTCTTTCCCAATCAGTTCGCTGGGCCCAAACTCCAACCTCATCCTTGGATGTTGTTGAGAGGTCAAGGTCCCTCTTTGGGACCCCTCATCACTCTTGAGCCAAAGTCCCCACCTCATCCCGAGCGGCCTGGTAATACTCCCTCTTTGACCCGCTTGTGGACACAACTTAAATATAAAGGAAGGGACTCACCGAAGGATGGGCGGGTTCGGGGCGGGGATCATATTCCCTGTCCCCGTCCCCGACCCCGATTCTTAAATGAACCCCATCCCTGTTCCCGATCCCTGTCGAGTATAAAATTTGTCCTCCATCCTCGATCCCCAATGAGGATGGGGGAACCGAATCCACGAAATGTTTTCAAATAACAATATTTTTTAAAATAAATTTACTTAAAATAAATAAAAATTTTAAATTATGAATAACATTTTAAATATGTTTTGATATATATAATATAAATAACATTTAATATATATATATATATAATAGGTGTCGGGGTAGGGCGGGGACCTCAATCCCCATCCCCAACCTCGACCCCGACTGGGGATACCTATTAATCCACATCCCTATCCCCACCCCGCTAAAACAATCCCCATCCCCGGCCTTATCAGGTCGAGGAAGTCGGGTCCCCGTTAGGGATGGGGAAAATTGCCATCCCTAATGGGAAAAGGAAGATCGACCTCGCCTAAAGGATGACCAACCTTGCCTGATTCTTCTCAAGCTCCTCAACCTCTTGTTCTACAGCCCTTCAGAAAACTCCAACATGGTGCAAATGGGACACATCAAGGGGCCCCCTATTTATATAGAGAAGGGATGCACACAACCAATGGACAAAATGCACTTAATCCAACAAGCCATAGGGGAGCATGCCATTTCAACTTCCGAAAGCGAATTCAAAATTCGAATTCATGCACTTGATTTGAAATTCAAAACTACCACACGTGCTAGCATGCTCTTTAGACTAGAATGGGAGAGCAGGCCGAGTTGACAACAAACCAACCAAACCAATAATTTCAAGCCAAGGATCCATGACGAACTACTCCCTTCTCCAAACCGACCTCGACTTGGGAGTAGGGGGCAATTGATGAGGGGTGATTTGGCCCTCTAGTGACATCACAACATGTGGCATCCAAGAATCGCCATACGATACATCGACGTCACATAAGCATAGACTTCAAGAGTACTTCGGACCTCCTTGACCCACCTCAAAAGGTCGACCTATGGACGCCCTAAAAGGTATTAGGTCAGCGTAAGAGGCCACCTGCCTCTGCCGACCTGACAGAGGCCCGGTTGGCAACCTATACGACATGACGGGCGACCTCCCTCACAACTCACGAGTGGGTTATCATCTCCAATTCCTCCGGGATCACATCACCACGTCGACGGAATTGAATCCCTCCCCACCCGCTTCAGAGGTAACCAAATAAGCGTTATTACTTTATGTGGAGTTTGTCTCCAAGCATAAAACCACCTTCAAACGAGACGGGCCAATGATCTTTGACACGTTATGTGAATTCCCTAGGAACCTCTAGTTAATGGAATATACAGAATTGTGATCAATCAAATATTGCAAAGCCCTGGTATTTATTACHGTTCAGAATTGGACCATAACGGAATTTCAGTCTATACTGGCACCATAATATCAGATTGGGGAGGAAGATCAGAATTAGAGATTGATAGAAAAGCAAGGATATGKGCTCGTGTGAGTAGGAAACAAAAAATATCTATTCTAGTTCCATCATCAGCTATGGGTTCGRATCTAAGAGAAATTCTAGATAATGTATGCACAATATAGCACTGACAACTCTCTTGCATTCTTGCTTTCTAAGAATCCAATACTCTTTGCTGACTTAAGCATCGAAATACCCACCCCAAGTAAAGCAACTCGAGTACTCTAATACTATTCTCTAGCAAGGAGCACCGGATCCTGCAACATCAGAAGGTGTGTTAAAACCCAATACTTTAGGTTTAATATCCAATAGGCAACATGTATCAATGCCATTTTCAAGCTCTATAAATCGCTAGTCGTTGTTTTATGTATGTTTTTTCTTCTTTGTTTCCCCACCAATACCAATTGCATCTCACATTCTTAGTTTACCTATTTATATCAAAGACATTGGCATGGGTTTGTTGGTTGTGCAATACCTCATCAAATTAAAATTGGTCGGGTCAGTTTTGGTCCTTTCGTCATTTGATCATTTGACAACATTTCAAAATGTTTCTTCCCATGTTCGACAGGCTAGGTCAAACGATTCAGGTGTGTGTGTGTGTGTGTGTATGTGTATAAATATATATTTTTTAGTAATAAATAATGTATAAATATGTTTTAGATATGTTATTTGTATAATTTTATATTTAATTTATGTTTTTTAATTTCGTTTTTAATTTTTTATTTATAAAAATTTTAAAAATTGCAATTTGAGGCCAAAAAGGGTTTTTTTTGCAAAAATTGTAGGGAAAGGCGCCTATGGCCCCTTGGGACACATAGATCTCAAAAATTACCCAAAAAAAATCATCCTAATTAGACAACGGAGTGCAAAGTTATGGTCTCTAAAAGTTTGCATGTATTAAGTATACAACCCGCGATGGGGCGGGTTTTTTTGCTTAAATGATGGGTTTTGGGGCAGGTATGGTTTTGGGATTATACAACCTGTACGTGTATGGGTAGGATACGGTATTAGGCTTGTTGGAATGCATATAAACATTATGTACTAGGTCACTAGGTGTTGAATTTAATAATATTTTGAATCTTATGTGAAGGATAATTGCTAGTTTATGTGTTTTTTACATGTCTTAATCAAATAATTAGAAATCTTGATGCTCATTTGTGTTATTTTAATTATTTATTGCTTATATATGACAAGAAATAATAGGAAATTATATGTGGGTTTTAAACCCAACTCGCCCCTGCCTTTGAATGCGGGGAGGGTAGGGTCGGGGAGGGTTTTCATTTTCATGTTCGAGGAGGGTTAGGATTCTCTAAATCCAACCCACTATGGGTTTTGGGGCAGGTACAGGTTGGGAGGTTTATGGAGGCGGGTAGGGTCTAGAATTTACAAAACCCTCCTTGAACCTGCCCCATTGCAATCCCTAGACCAGGTCACTGAGTCGAACAGGTCAATGGTCGAATCTACTAGGTCAAACGGCTCTTGACCAAGCCAATGGTTTTCGACCATTTGACGGGTCTTGACTGACCGGACCCAAAATCTTGGTTGGGTGATCGTTCAAATGGTTCGACCAGCGGGTTCAACAACATATTGAAAACATTGATGTCCACCATTCAATTTCTTACCTAAAATCATCATTGTCCAATGGATTTGACCATTTTTAAATCCAAATTACCAAAATGCCCAGTAACTTCTCAAAAACTCGTTGCGACAACAATTTTGAATAAGAATACTCAGGATTCGGTTAGCCAAATCGTGAGTCTTTTTTTAAAGGGTTTCTAGCAGATAAAGGCAACTTTTTGCCCTGAATATCAATAAAAAATAATATTTTTATAAAATAACCAAAATATGATGACTTTTATGGAAACATATCAAGAAAGGGCAGTGACACTGTTCATCATCTTCCTTTGCCTCTGTATTCATGTGAATACACTGGATTTGAAGCCTCGGTGAATCCATTTTATAAAGCCACAGTTGAACACTGTTCCTCATCTTCCTCCGTTTAGCGCATTGAAATGGGCGATGAACACTGGATTCATGCGAATACACTGGATTGTATTACGCACTGATTCGTCATTCACTGCCTTGCCTGCATTCGGTCGGCTAGAGAATGTGAATGGCTTCACCGAGGCTTCGAATGATTGAATCCATTCAATACACTGATTGTATTGCACACTGATATTGGCAGCAAACCAGTGAATCAAAGACCCCATAGTACGGAGGGGGGGTGTCTTTGTAATTTACCCATTGTTTTCATGTTGGGTGATGCATCTGAATCCCGATAGGGCTCGATGAATAGTGCAGAACCAACCAAATTGGTAGCAGAGGGATTCAGGTCCCCATCTTTGATTGAATGAATTAGCAAACGTACCGAGTCACCCATCAGTTAAGTGTGAGTAGGGTTCTTGTATAGTTGATTGCATGACATGGTGAGCGATGCATACTGGGATTAATACAATCATCTCTCAGAGTTGAAGGCATATATGCAAGTTAACAATGGTAAGCACAAGGTATTAATACAATCATTTCTAGAGGGCAGTCTTCTCTTGGTTCCACTAAATTGGCAACAAACAATCTTGATCCACATGGCTAAAATATCGCAAATTCGTGTTAAGGAAACTCCTTGCTTGATCTAATCTGATAACCCTCGCGGATGAATTGAGTAATTACTAATTAGGTGTAACCAATTACAACACTAAACAATAACCAATGATCTAGCCTCGAAATTTATAAATTAAGAAAACAAAAAATTAAAGATTATGAAATTCGCAAATGTTAAATGGTTAGGTAGAGAGTTTGAGATCGGTTCAATCATATTGCATTGACAATGTATTCTTTTATATTTTTTTCCTCCTCTCTTCTCTCTTAACTTGTAATCTGCAACCTAACAAATGCAGTACCATACTATTATTACTATACTGTAGCTAGAAAGATGAAGCATAAAATATGTGATCGATAAAGAAAGAATAGACAAATGACCCCCTTTACCTACAAATATGAATTTTCCATGGTGGAGAGGCGATAAACCATGACCACCGCTACAGCAAATGACAGAAGCAACATGTCAATCCACTTCACCAACATCATCCCAATTTGTTTTAACATTTCTTCGCCCCATTTCTTCCCACTGTATGTTAGTATAAGTAGGTGAACTATTAGGGATTACATGCTTTCACAAACAGGGCAACCATATCAGCAGCAGAATTTGAGTTGATGACAATTAGGGTAAGGGGATAATGAAAAAGGAGAGGATAAAACCGAGGCATCTCAATTTTACAGACCTCCCTCCCTTCAGCCTTTTTATACCTAAAAATATTAGGCTCTAGAGCTTGAGGCCCATCCAATCAAAGACTCGGAATAAATGAGATGAGGTCATCCATCACCCACAAAAGGATAGTGAGGCACCGCAGAGAAGGCCAGGGCAAGTGAAGTGATGAGTAGCATCAACGGCTGTAACTTCTCCAATGCCACCATTGCAGATCCTTCAAAGAAATTCTTCCCCAATACTTTTATACTCCCAGCTAGCCAAGCAAGAACCTGAACATATCACTCAACGAAACAATACCTTCTACACGCTTGCTCCCAGCCTCCACAATGACAAGCCGCCTCACCCCTAAAAACCCACAAGTAATTGGGTGAAGGCATCCACAACAGAGCTAGTCAATGTATAATGCCTGGTAAACACCTAGATAAAAAGAGAAAAAAGTTCACCTGGATTTGATAACCGTTCCATCACTTTATGCAGAGGATCAGTGCGCAGACACATCTGGCATCTCTGGCCATTGAAGATGCCATATGGAGAATTTGCATCTTGTCCCAGTTGCAGTGCCTAAATTAACAAGGCAACGTATCGATTTGAGATCTTGGAGACATGGACAGGAATACATAGGTTATCTTCATCATCTGAAATGCACTTCATTACCCAAAAAAGGATGTCATCTAAAATGCCCTCAAACCAAAACAATGCAAATTCAAACCCCCTTCCCTGCCCTCAATACAACTTTCACAAGGTTCACAACACAAAGGTAGCTAAAATTTGCACCTGTTTGGTCAGACCATTTCCCTAGCACTCAGATAGGCTGTCAAGAAACCTTTGGATAACTTGAATATGTTAACAAGAAGATGCTTTATCCATCAAGGTCATTTAAATGCAAAGGATAAAAAAACAAATCTCTAGAACAACACATACAACAAATTTCTTTTATTTGATGGCAACAATCAAAACAACCAATTCTATATGAACATCATACAATAGTAGTAATCAGGGGCAAAGGCATGGTTTTGAAAACCGGACCAGACCAGACAGTCTGGACTGGTTGGCCCAGGAACTGGTCAGGCAACCAGTTCCGTTTCACCCTAAAACTGCTCCTGGGCCAAAAACCGTTGATTTGATCAGCAACCCACTGACCCAGGCAGTCGAACCGTCGACCTGGACAACGGTTTTGGTCATTTTATTTTAATTATTTTTTATTTCTTTAATCAGAACGGGACATCCATTCGAACCGGACGGTTGGACCATTCGCCCGGGAACCAGTCCGGTTTTTAAAACCTTGAAAAAAGGCATATAAAAGCTTCAACCACTGGATCTGTGATTCAAGCATGCTTTCTTCTCTATTTCTTAAGAGTTTCTTTTCACCTTCTCTATTTCTTAAGAGTTTCTTTTCACCTTCTCTATTTCTTACGAGTTGAGAATGCTCTGGAGAGGGTTTTATCTTATGAATAAAGGCTCCCATGCAAGCATCAACACCAATGGTGTTTTTCCTGTTTTTTAGTAAAAAGAAATTTTCATTAAAACAAAGACGAAAAGGTATACAGAAAAATATGTTTTTATAAAAATAGCGTACATGATATGTGTGTTATTTTTACAATTTGTGACTGCAACCAAGGGGGAGACCAACATAATCCAAGGTTGCAGACACCATGTGGAAGTGGCATCGTCTAAATTTATCTCACTCAGGAACACAAAAATCCTTATAGGCATTTAACTTAGACCTTATATTTATAACCCACTAAATTGGCTGAAACAGCCAATGGCCTTTTTTAGAGAAAAGGCAGAGTATTGATATTTCTATTACTAACAGAAAATCCCGTACAGAAGAGGCTGTACAAAGGGAGAGATACAAAACACCTCTTCATCCCTTACAAGATCACTAACCCTTGACTGTTTACAAAAAAAGACTGTCAAGTACAAAACATGTGTCCAATGAATTAATGGAGAAATCACATGAAGTAGCCATAAAAAGCAAGTATTTACAGTCACCTGATGAATACTCATTTCATCAAGATGGACCTGTGCATAAGCTCTATCTTTGGCCAAAGCAGTTATATCACTGTAAAACAAACAACGAAATAATTACCAACAACAAAGCAGACATGCAATATTATGTCTGATAGTGGAATAGGAGACAGAGAGTTACCTTCGACAATATATATCCAGTAGTGAGTCATTCTCATCAACTATAGGTATTGAACTAACTCGAGCTGCAGAGACAAAAGTGCAATACCATAAGAAAGTCAAAAGTATGAGAGTCAAAAGCATGAGAACATTGATAGGAGAAACCTTGCTGTTATTAATAAGAAAGCCAAAACACATCTGAGCTTCAAAGATATGAGAGAAATGTACATCCATTCATTTTAAAAACTTCAGAGATGAATGCAAAATAAAGAACAAATTCATTATTAACTAAAACTATAAGTTTCATTATGCTCAGATAGCACAAATCATGAGTCGCCACCATGACTCAGTGCACCCCACTCAATCCTGTTCAGCCCACATGCTCCACCAAAGAGCAAAAGAAAAGTCATATCCAACTAACAGAAGTAAAGAACTGAACAAAAAGCACTTTTTACATCAGCTGATATTTAAATAAAAATGCTATACAGAAAATCCAGTAGTTTCACCCCAATCAAACAATATGCTTTGTTTATATCTCTAAGATAATTTCATCAACATAATAAATCCTATTCTCTCCTCATGTATGAGAGCATTTATGCCCCAAATTCTCTATCAATTTATCATATTCAATTTTATCATTAAGTCTCTACATGTCCAATCACTAATGAGATTAAAACATTTTATTAATATAGGAAAATTAGTCAATGCTTCAACATGCTATCCACCTATAGGGACATCAATAAAACAGAACCAGAGTAGGCTGCCCATATACAGTTTTGTTCAAAGACTACACTGCACAGTCCAAACATAGTAGAAAGTGTCTCTTTCAACCCCCTCCCAAGAAAGGATGTCTGCTAATGCAATGGCAAATAATCGCAAATTTAAGACTGCAGTTGAACAAGATGTTCATCTTAGCATCCACCCTTGCATCACTCATGTGGTGTCAAAGTGCTCAATCAAGTAATCTCATCATCCCCTGTGGCAAGGATAAAATCTCTGCCTTTAATGCATTAGGCTTTGTTTGGATCCGGTGTAAAACGTCATCAGTGTAAAAGTACACTGATGTCGTTTTACACTGAACTGTATATATAAGTGATTGTTACATTTTGAAAACCAGTGTAAAAAAGTGTAAAGTTTTACATTGATAAAATCGATGTAGTTTTTACATCGATTGTCGATGTAAAACTTTATGCTTGATGAGGTTTTACATCGATTTTTTTATTATTTTTTTCCACTCCATCCAAATGCCAACAAATCTAAACCGGAGTGGAGTTTTACGCCAATCATAATTACACGCTCCTTCCAAATGCCTACAAAACCGAACCAATGTAAATTTTACATTGGTTCTTGGTTTACATTGCTTCCAAATGCAGCCTTAGTCTCTCCAATAGGAGAGGATTAAGCTGCAGTAACCTCTCCAAACTACCACTAATGCCCAAACACCCGGGGTTTCCTAAGAAAACAGTCATCAAAATTGACTTTGTCCAGCCATTTGGTTCAAGGGTCCACCTTGTGAAAATAGAAATAATGACAAGTGAGGAATCCTCTAAATTCCTCTGTTGTGGAGATCCAATAAATAATTTTTATTGTGATGGCCACTACTTTAAATCAGCTCCTCTTTTTTATCTTGGAAGGACTGCTACCCTTGTAAATAAAACTTCAAATTATTTTCCCCCGCATTGAGGATAATAAGAAGAAAACTAACTCAAAATAGCCAGTCACATCCAATAGGGGACTAATATGGCACCAAAAAGAGGCAAAAAAAAAGCTTCCATATCATAGTAGCAGAAGAGCAAGAGAAGAAGATGTGGTTTAACCAAGACTTTCTTCTCAGTCAGCAAAGTCATCAGTGTTAAAGGCTCTTTTTCATGATACTGGTTTTAAAAGCTCTTGAGAAGCACATTTCAACAGAAAGCTCTAATCTCTAGTGGTGTCCTCTAGATTGAAAAAAAAAATGTCAAACTAGGAAGTCCATTGGCAAGATGTTGCATGTATTCTTTCTAGGCAGCAATTTTTGAAGTAAGAGATAAAAGGACAAATATGTATCAATCTCTCTTTCATTCCAAAAAGAGGAGATGAGGATAAATGACGCTTGGAAGGCAATAATTTGAAACATGTAACAAACCATTGTCAAATACTAAATGAAGAAAGACAACCCTTAATTTCTTGAGGCATAATACTGTATGGTGAAGCTATCAATTTGAAAACAAAGACCCCAAAAGAGTAGTTGTATAGCACAAAAGCACCGCATGATATAAGGTGTATGATTATGAAGCAATCCAGTACACCTATGATTCAAGGCCAAGTTTGTAAAGGCATGAAACACCAGCATATTATATTTTCAAGAAACGGACGAGAAATTACCCATGAAGTTAAAAAAGAAACTACCTTGAACCAACAGAGACAGAGCAGAACTAAGAGAAGCATTAGGTCTCAGCATTGCCAATGGCCGTCTTGCTTCCCCGATTTTTGGAATCCATGTGCCCAAAGGAATTGAGCAAATTGGTTGTTTTAAGATTGGCAAGGAGCTAGAAGAGTGTCTAAAATGCCTGCAAATACCTGAAAATTACATGGTTTAAGTCAGTAATAGAACATTATCCCTCAATTAGAAAAAAAACCAATAATGATGCTTACATTTAAGTATTCCTGACAGGGAAGCAAGATGCAGTAGCTGTGGAAATGATCCATCCTGTGAAGAATGAATAATAGGAACTGTGGCTACCTCATTTTGAAGAATTTTTAAGGCAACATCTTTCAAAGAATCATAAGGTCCAGCCTGCACGTATATATATACATTGAAGACAAAAGGAGCTGTTTGAATTATTAAGCCCTCACTCTATTTAAACTGAAAATACTGCAAAACACAAAATAATTCAAAAAAAAACTCAGCTTTAGTGAAAATGAGCAAGAAAATTTCTCCAACGCTTCATACTTGACTAGATTGACATTGAATTAGGATGTCTGTGTCATCTTCTATCCCATTTAAGTAGGATTGCCAGTGTACAAGTCCTTCCCCCGATTCTTCTATCTAGAGATCATAAATGAGCTAACTAAATTTACTCCCCACCGATGCACTTCAGTCTTATCAATGCAGTGAGCTGATGACTACTAGTTTTGGCCCTTCTAGTAGATGTGCTGACTAGTCGATTTTTCATTTTTTTTGTTTGATAAAGTGGAATCATGAGTGGGTCATAGCAGAGTGAGCGTAAAACCCACTGCCCAAGGCACACATGGGTTTGATCCTGCGCCTCCTAAATGGAGGGGTTGCTATGTAACCATCTCGGCCAGCATTTCAAAAGCACAAGGCACACATCTTTTTTGAAGCAATGTGGTACAAAATTTTTTAAAATTCAAAATAAACTAAAATAGTATTAATTAAGAAAAATCCTTAAACGAAATGTTTTAAAAAGCCTATTGGCTCAAAGTAAAACACATAAACATAATATATGAAATATAATCTAAGTGAAAATGTAAAAATAAAATCAAATATTTACATATAACATATTCAGGCACATGAAACTTCCACTCTATTTCTTTTCCAATCACATTTTAAATAGCTAATGTGATGTTAAACATCTTGCATTCTTAATTCTACAAACCACCTTTGTATCAAGTGATAAGTCCCTTGAGGCAAGCCCAAACAAGTCTATTCGAGGGTCATAAATTCTTAACCTGTACATAAAAGATTGGTTTTGTAATTTTAACTATAGTTACTTTTATATATAGGTTACAAATTTAGGCCCTAGCATGATGTTGTTTGGGTTTGCCTCAAGGGGCTTGGTCAGGATCCAGGGGTGGAGGCTGCAGAGCCCCCAGCCCAGCCACTTCTTAGAAAAAGAGCAAAAGCACAAAAGAGATTGAGGCACACACCTAGTCTGAGGCGCAAGGTGCATCGAGCACATACCATTTCAAAGGAGTTGCACCTGGACCTAGGCAAGGCAATGGCTAATGCCTTGAAATGCACCTGACCTGTGACCAAGCATGCCTTTCAAATCACTAATTTTGACTACTAGGTCATTGGCAAGGAGATGACTAGTCGGTGCCTGAAAGACAAATTTGAAAGCCGAACCTCAGGTGCACATAAGCATACAAGTGAGGTGCACTTTAAAGTCTGCACCTAGGCACTGCACACATAGCCCCACTATTTTTCCCCAAATTGGCATGTAAGCCCTATATTTCTGTTCTTTCCCCAAATTCCCACCTACTCCATTTTCTTGAAACAAAAAATAATAATAATAAATTGTGGTGCCAATTAATAAGTAGAAACTTCCAGACCCCAGACACACCATTGGACCTTGTCACTCATAGTAAATGCTTTTTCACATGTTTTGAGGGATAAATGTACTCCTCAAAGAGAGATTACTGCTTTGCTAAATTATGAAACTGTACTTGTGTTAGATAATTGAATAAGCACATTAAAACAGCAACCATTATGTACATCAGAAGACAACCCTTTTGTTAGGCTCATTTTGGCTATGTAAGCCCCCATTTTTTTTCGTTTACATGCTTCTTTTGATGGTTACCCCCCCCCCCCAAGTACAACTATTCCCTGTTCACCCCTTGTTTGACCAATGAATCAGTCAAGCAGTTTGTTGATCCTTGTACCCAAAAAATCCAAGCTCCTAACTCCTTTTCCAGCTTACATGCATGTGCATATGTCCCTATGAATGCATTTATTTCTATGTAATCTTCCACATCTAATTGTGATGCAGTAAATACACTTGGTGGAATGTACAAATCCAAGAATTGTTATATGGGACTACTTACCTTTATTTATTAATTAATAAATTTATCAAAACAATAAAACTTTATGTTAAAAAAATCAAAACTGCATTACTTGGTATAAATTTATTTTGCATTTCCTTCTTCAGCACCAATGTGTCCATGTCAAATGACAGAGAATATTGGATAAATGTCACAACAAATACTTACATGGATTAGGCATTTTGGTAATGCTCTCCCATCACCATCGACTTGTCCATTAAGGAACATTTTTCCCTCTTTCCAAGCAGATATAGTGTGTGTTTCAAGCTCTTCCTCACTCAGATTTGACCCATGATTCCCTAGCTGCAAGTTAAAATATTTGATAGCACTCTACCAAAGAAATGCCCTTTATTTTTATCAAGGACTAAAGAACATCTTGAAGACACAAAGAAAAAAGTCAAGAAGTCATCTAAATGATAATAAATACATATAAAACATGGGATAAAATAGATGCTGTTGCTCCAAACACTGCAGAGAGAATATTCAAGCATCCCATGAGAACATTAATCTTCCTGACACATGGAGTAAGGAAACAAATTTTTTTTATTCATAAAGAAACATTAGAAAGCCATATAACCTGTTCAAGCATTTAAAAGAGGGGAAAAGGGAAAGATATGCTTTGGAAAAAGAATAGGACAACTTTCTGTTGCTCTTCAAAAAAGGGCAATTTGCTTACAATAAGGTAAAGAAATTTTAAAAAAAAATTGAACAAATATGTAGTACTTGCCAAAAAATGTTTAGAAAAAAAATAGGCCGTAAAAAGCTTCATGTAAAAATTTGTGTAGCTTCAAAGCATGAACAAGCAGGGAATTGCTGGTAAGTAAAATATGGATCAATGCTTCACAAACCAATAATCCCGTCACTTTCTTATTAAACTGATAAATCCCTTCAAGTTACAATACTGTACTTCACCACAGTTGCACCTTCTGCTTTCATTTCTACCTGTCTTATTGTATACAAAGTGCGTGAAGCCAAAAAGATCATCAAACAAAAGAATTTCTAGAAAGCAATAACAGAGCTTTACAACAACCTATGAATTATACTTCCAAATATATGGCAATCCCCAGAACCATAAGAAAGAATGTATTATCAGTTTCCATCAGGAGAAATAGATACATGTTCAGATGTTCTTCATAATATGAATTCATGAGATCCCATCAACTTGTGGCACAAAATAAGCACAAAAACAAAACTAAGTCATACTTAAAAGTGCTTTTGGGAAAACTATCATTTACGGGCACAAAATAGTCATCAAATTAAAAGTCATTATCAGTGATGGAGTCTATGGGTGATTTTAAAGGTACATAAACTACAAGCAAGCAAGATCTCTAGGCAAGGTATTATACTATTCCGAAAACTATAAATTTGCATTTGAATAAATAACTATGAAAAACTTGCACACATACCTCTTTCAAAATTAATATGAAGTCAGATGCACTTAGGACTCCAACAAATTGGCCCTTGGAGAAGTCCCATAGAGGAGCCACAGAAATTCCCTGGAAATAACTTAACTCAGGAAAAAATTATATCCAAGCTTCTTATAAGAAAAAAGTTAGCATTTAAAAGAAAAAGAAAAATAAACTCTTAGAAAGCAACCCAATAGAAAAATGGCAACAATATGGGTTACAGAAAAGGAAAATTGATCTAATATGACAAATCCAGAACATATTCAGTTATTCGGCATTCAAAATAATTATTTTACATATGAAATTGAACCATGAGAGCCTGAAGCCCCAGCAATGTAAAAGACCTTGGTCACTTTACAGTAAAAATTCAGCATTTCCATGCAAAAAATCTTGACAATGAACATGTTATTGTTAACCACCAATTAAAAATTGTTCATATTAAAAACTTGTTCCGTTGTTTAAACAAAGGATATGCACTGAACAGAGTGAAGCAGTAGAACAATATTCGTTTAGCCAACACCGTATGGTTGGGGCTAGGTTTTGTTGGGTTGAGTGAGCTACTTTTGACACTACAGGAAATGGAGAGTTCTGAAAAATCAAAATAATACAAGCAAAAGACACCAAGGGACAATTCACAATAAGTATATTTTACACAATTCTAGACCTCAGAAAAATAAGATATATACCTGCTCATAGAGAATGTGGAATGCTTGTTTCACAGGTAAACTCACGTCCAAGGCAATGACCTGTAATTTTAAATAAGCATTATCAGAACATGATATGATGAACGCCAGGCAGTATTAAGTAGCTAAATTTTGAAATAAATGGTCATAAAGGTGGGTGAAGCATCCAAACCTTGCCTGACTCGGGAAGCAATTCATAAGCTGTATGTGTAGACAAGAATACAGAAATACGTTGTCGAGTAATCTCTATATCTGCCTCTGAAATTCTTGGAACTGCTTCCTGCAGGGTACCATCTGACAATGTAACCTGTTTTGTATTGCAAATAACATACAGAAAAATATTAAAACAAAATTATTTGACACAATTGGAGTCACCTTTATGCACATTTTAAGTCTCCGATCAAAAATAAATAAATCCTCTCATGCATGGATAAAATCCCCTCTATTTCAAGACAAAACTCCATTTTAATACATGCATTCTCCTCCCTTATATTCTTTGGACCATAAACTACATATTACCTTGTAACAGAAGTTCCCGGAAACAACAAGTTACAACAAAGGCTGAGCATAGGAAAAGATAAATTGAAAGTTAATATCTTTGGGTATATTAACAAAAATATCCATTCTAATTTAATATTAGTATCTATATGTGAACTATCTCAGTTAACTTTGTTTTACACATTTCACTACCACCCAATGCTATTGAAGACAAGTTTTATTTGAGATCACTGAATAACAATAGTAATTATAATAACACATCAAAAGAAAAATAAAAAAACATTAACAAGAAGAAGAAGAAGAAGAAATTGCTCAACTATAGAAACTTAGAGGTAGAAGGAGATTGCAAAGTGACGGTGAGCTGGGTGGAGAGGATGGTGAGTTTGCCCCATTGGCATAACAGGAATATGTAGAGGGAGATTAAAAACTTGAAAAGGGAGACGGCCATTTTTAGCAAGTAAAGTATTTATTGAAATTCAACAAATAAAAATTGTACATTAAGGAACTATACAAGGAATCTGTATGTAAATCAAATCAAAGACACAAACCAGTCCACTTCACCCATTACAAAGCCTCCTCAAGAAAAAAGAAAATGGGTATCAATATGGGTATACCCCTTAAATCTGGTAAGCACTGCATTAATGGAATTAACTCAGCCCTCTAAAATTCGGCCCAAATACACCAAGATAGCACGAGGGGTGTGATTCCCCAGTCCCCACAGCACTTTACCCTTCTCATTAAGACCAGCCAACCTCCAGGACCTCAAAAGGATGAAACACAGAATTAGGGATACATCCCTTCCTTAAACCAGAAAGAGCAGAAACAGTATTGTCCAGGGCCGTGCCTATCCTCACCAACCTGTCCCTAGTTATGACACGTGTCTAAAGTAGCCAACCAGCACAAGAATGCCACCTTTGAGGGGGTCAAAGTTGTCCAGATTCTAATATGCGAAAATCAACAGCAGGCTGCCTACTAAGGTTCCATGATTCACAGAGAAGTTTGATTTGTCCCATAACCATATTCCCATATCCTCTTCACCCACCCCAGGAACAATGCCCTTAAATCCAAAAAAGGAAATGGTGTGAAAAGCAAAAAGAAGGAAGAGATAGTTACAGAGGGTAAGGTGGTTGGCTACGTAGGTTAGTTGGCTATGGCCAGACCAAGATTAGGGTGCACAAAACTTGTATATATTATATTCTTTGCATATAAATAATAATAAATTCTATTTTCCACTACTGGTAATAATAATAAGAGGATTTTTTTCTTCAACTAATATAAAGTACCTTTCTCTTCATCTATCTTCATGAAATTCTCACCAGTCATCAGTTTGATGTAGGTCCTTTTTTTATAATTATCATTTTGGTATAGGGCCATAGGCCTTGGTGAAGATAAGAGAAATCCACATACTATATGCATGTATTTGAGGCAAACCAAGTAGCATAAAATGGTTTAAATAAATGGTCTCACAATCTTAAAATAATGTAAAACCAAGCGAAGATCAATTTGATCAATTTCTTATATGTATTTACACCTAAATAATAAAGAATATAGGTCCAGCTACCTCAGGAACCATAAATGCACCATGATTACGTAGAAACCTCAGTGGAATGATGACATATGAAGTAAATGACTATTATAAAATTAAAAAAAAAAAACAGCAAACTGCTTTAAGATGGTGGTTCAGTACGAATCTGTTAGATGGTTAAAAAGCCTTGAAAGAAATCCAAGGTTGTTATCTTAAATGTACAAGATAAAACAGCTTCAGGTTCAAAGTTTCAAACAGCACTTACTCAAAACAGATTCTGAAGGAACTGCATGCAATAACTGATGAGCTCAAAAATATCAGTTGCAGGGGAAAGAATCTATAGACAGGTATCATAGAAGTGGAGGGAGACTCAAAGTTAGTAGTAGGGTGGGTGCAAACAAATAGTCTTGGAACTTGGTCCCTAAGACAAAATGTAAGAGAATTATTGAGCCTTACAAGGGAACTGGGTGTAGTTGTTAATTGGACTAGAAGTTCAGCAAATGCTTTAGCTGACTTACTAGCAAAGCAAGGGGTGAATAGAGAGACTTTGTTTTGGGCTGTGTTGTAACTTGCTTTTTGTTTCAGGGGTCACCTTGTCCTTCTGTAGGTGACGGTTTGTAATTTTTGATGTTCTATTTAATGAAAGTTACCGTTTCCTATCAAAAAGGTATCATAGACACAACTTTATGTATACCATATAGCTGTAGTGCATGCACAACTTTAAGATGAACAGGATCAGAAACAGAGAATAAGAGCTCCATCTACCTATCCAATCAACAAAGGAAGTATAAATAGATGCACTTACCACACGCTGAAAGGCATCATTGTCCACATCCATGTTGGTCCTAGAGCCAGGTGTCTCTGGACTCAAGATTGAAGGATTTGGCTCAGGTTCCCTAGACAACAGGACAGTGTTCACAATCCCATAACTTCCTGTCTCAACAGGTTGTCGCTCATCATGCCGCCATTCTCCATCAACAAAAAACTTGTACTGCATGCAGAGGGACATAAAAAAAGGCTCAGAGTTAGGCATGCCCAAATACTCGATGGTGTATATGCATGCGGAATTGTGGGTATCATATATATTATGCATTAAAATTAACACATATATTGCCCCCGTAACATCCATCATTCTTACCAATGCCCTGGCAGCTTAAAAAAAAAAAAAGATTCATATATGGTTCAATAAACTCAAACCATTTCTACCTCACAAGCATATTGATTTAATAAATAAAATGATTGGTATTCAGAATTTGTGGAACTGAGCTGATTTTTTTTTGAAGAAGAAGAAGAAGAAGAAGGTAAAGTAAATTTTAGTAGAACAGAACCAGATTACAGAATTCAAGAGGCCCCAAAACCAAAAATCCAGGGACCAAGAAGCCAGAAAATAATAGTTAGAAACTTCCAGCAATCAGCTGGGCTCCCAAAACCCTTGGTTGAACCCCTAAAGCTACAGCATTCCAAGAGATTAGTTTTCCCACAGTACAGGACAACAGTTGATCCCCTTTGTGCTTATCCTGGAAAATTCTTTTGTTTCTTTCAGCCCAAATGATACTATCTACAGCCGCAGGAATTAAGAGCCAGACACTTTTTCCTAACTTAGATAAGCCTCTCTAGTCCCAGCACCACAGGAGATCCAGAACAGTTGCAGGCATGGCCCAAGATAGCTGCCTAGAGGAGAAGTGGTTCCAGATTTTACTGGAGATAGGACAATGCAGAAATAGGTGGTTGCTGTCATCCTCCCCTTGGTTACATTTTTTTTCTATGAATGAATATAATTTATTAATTCAGAAATATGAGGCAATACAGTAGACCCAGGAGGAGGCACGAGTTGTTACCTCTTCTAACAAGTATTACATCAAATAAAAACAGAATTAACCAGAACTAAAATTACAAAGCAGCCCAAAATAAATGTTCCCTTGAAGCCCCTTGCTTAGCTAACCCATCCGCTAAGGAATTTGCTGATCTTCCCACCCAAAGAAAGGTAACAGTCATGTTTCTTGTGATACAGTTAACATATCTCTATGTCGCCACATAGCCGAAGCTGGTTCTGTCAGCCATCCCACAACAATCTCAGAGTCCCCTTCAACTACCAAGTGCTGGTCCTGCTGGACTCCTAATTGTTCTGCAATCTGAATACCTTGTACCGCCGCTAATATCTCAGCTCTATTGGAGTCTCCTATTCCCACAGGGCCTGAAAACAATGCTAATATTTTGCTTTCATTATCTCTCAGCACCCCTCCCCTTGGTTACATAGCACAAGAATAATCCTGCAGCTGCATACCTCACCTCTCCAGATTCCTGTTGGTAAGGCACTTATCCAGAGCCACAGCCCAGATCAAAGCATTAAGCTTTGAAGGGACAGTCTGGTTCCTGACTTTATTAGCAGGGAAATCAGCACCTTGATCAGTTCAAAGGATCCTGGCAAACGAAGTAACAGAAAACAGACCATCTTTGCTCCAAGACCACATCCAAGAATCTTCTTCTGATAAATCCAGATACCAAGTAGATAACATCTCCAACAGCCCTGAGACTTGATCTAGTTCCCAGTCCTGGAAATGCCTTCTGAAAGAGGGGTTCCAAAGACAAGTGTTGTCTCTAATCTCGTAGCAGTCAGCAACCAAGGCTTCTTGGTTTTCTGCCATTTGGAACAGCTGAGGGAACACCTCGGCAAGGGGTCTATTAGTGCACCACACATCCTTCCGGAACCTAATCCTCTGGCCCTTCCCCAACTTTACCAAAAGACCATTACTCAATAAAGGGAAGACTTCCATGATTTTCTTCCGAATCGAGCACCCAAGAGAGATCAAGGAATTGGTAGTAACCCAGTCCCCGTTGTCTGGATTATACTTGGCTGCAATTAATCTCCTCCACCAGCTTCTTCTTTCTCTGCCAAATCTCCAAATCCATTTCCCCAAAAGAGCCTTATTGAAGACTTTCATTTTTCTGATCCCTAGTCCACCTTTGTCTTTTGGAGCACAAACTTGATCCCAGCTAACCAAGTTGTTTGCTGGAACACAGCTGCCGAAGGAGAAGAGAAGAAGAAGAAGAAGAGAAAGTTTTGAGAATAGCAGCACACATCACTCAACCGACCCTACTCTATTATATATAAGTATTACATAGTGTTACATGAATAGACTAGAATGCCCCCGATTAGTGATGGGACACCTAGACAAATAGAAAACACTAAATAAGATTAGGCCCAATAACTAATGACTTAAGACCCAACAAAGATAAGCATACACATTAAGACATCCGAACCAACACTCCCCCTCAAGCTAAGCATGGATGTCAATCATGTTTAGCTTGCCAAGTATGTCCAAGAATTTTATTGAAGCTAGCCCTTTTGTTAGAACATCTGCGATCTGCATCTCGGAGGGAGTATAAGGGATGTAGAGTTCTCCTGAGACTATTCTTTCTCTGACGAAGTGTCGGTCAATTTCAATATGTTTCGTTCTATCATGTTGCACTGAGTTATTTGCAATGTTGATGGCAGCCTTGTTGTCACAGTACAACCTGAGAGGACACTCGATCTTTATTCCGAGTTCACCAAGAAGGATCTTAAGCCACAGAAATTCAGCAACACCATGAGCCATAGCTCGATATTCAGCCTCTGCACTTGATCTAGCAACCACATTTTGTTTTTTACTCCTCCATGTAACCAGATTTCCTCCAACAAAGGTGCAGTACCCGGAGGTTGACTTCCTGTCCCCAACAAAACCAACCCAATCTGCATCAGTATATGCTTCAACTTCAATTTTATTGTGTTTTCTGAACATAATTCCTTTCCCCTGGCAAGTCTTCAAATATCTGAGAATCCTTTCCAAAGCTCTCATGTGAGGGATTTTAGGAGAATGCATGAACTGACTGACAACATGTACAGCATAAGCAATATTTGGGCGAGTGAGAGACAGATAATCAACTTCCCCACCAGCTTTTGGTACCTCTCTTTATCAAGGTAGTCCTCTCGTATTGATTCCTGTAGACCATGGTTCTGCTCTATTAGAGTATCTGCTGGCCTACACCCCATCATACGTGTCTCTTCTAGGAGATCAAGGACATATTTCCGCTGACATATATAGATCCCCTCTTTTGACCTAGCAACTTCAATCCCAATGAAGTATCTCAGATGACCCAGGTCTTTGATCTCAAACTCAGCAGCCAAGAACTCCTTTAGTCTTTTTATCTCTTCCTAATCATCCCATGTAATCACCATATCATCCACATAGACGATAAGTGTTGTAAGTTTGCCATTTTTCTTCCTTATGAACAAGGTATGATCTACCCCACTTTGAGTATAACCCACTTTCTTCATGGCCCCACAAAGCTTCTCAAACCAAGTTCGAGGAGGCTGCTTAAGGCCATATAATGCTTTTCTCAATCTACACACTTTCTTGCCAAACCCGTAACCTAGTGGAGGATCCATGAATACCTCTTCATGTAGGTCGCCATTTAGGAAAGTATTCTTTACATCCAACTGATGTAGCTCCCATGAGAAGTTTGCAGCTAATGACAGTAGAACTCGGATTGTGTTGAGTTTCGCTACTGGAACAAAGGTTTCTTTGTAGTTAATCCCTTCCTTTTGAGTAAACCCTTTTGCTACAAGTCTGGCCTTGTACCTTTCAATGGATCTGTCCTCCCTATGCTTTACAGTGAACACCCACTTGCATCCAACAGTGCTTTTCCCTTCCGGTAGATCCACTAATTCCCAAGTCCCTGCTTTCATTAAGGCTTTCATTTCTTCGTTCATAGCCTCTTTCCATCTTGGGTCAGACACTGCCTCTGAATACCTAGTAGGGACATGCACAGAAGAAAGAGCAGATACAAAGGAACAATAACGAGGAGACAAATGTGAGTAAGACACGAAATCAACAATGGGGTGTTGGACAGTACAAGAACGGGTAGGCTTACGAAGGGCAATTGGAAGATCCAAATCAGAAGTATGTGTGATAAGATTACTTGGAGGTGCTGAGACAGGTTGATCCGAGTCCAATTGGTTGCAGTCATGAGTTAGAGGGCCCTTTTTCCTTCTATTGTAGGTGATTCTTATATCCTTTTGTTGCCTGTTGGAGTCTTCAGTAGCATCTGCAACATCAAGAGTGGTAGTTGGTACAATGAGAGCCTCACTAGGTTCACCCGGGATACTACAACTGGGAGGATCAAGAGGAGAAGATGGAAGGTCTGAGGCAGAAAGAGGCACAAAAAAGGAAGGAACAGAGGAATCCTCTTCCATCCCGCTAGTCTCCCCCTGAAGATGATTCTAGGAAGAATGAAAATAGGATTGAGACTCAAAAAACACCACATCCTTTGTGACATATTTTTTCTTGGTGACTGGATCATAACACTTGTAACCCTTCTGTGTAGGAGAGTACCCCAAAAAGATTCATTTCGTAGCCCTAGGATCCAGCTTGGTCTTCTTTGGATCCTTTACATGTATAGAACATACACAACCAAAGACTCTAGGTGGAAGAGAAAAATCTGGAAGATGAGGACAAAGGACAGAGAAAGGAGTTTTCATACCCAATACTTTGGATGGCATTCGATTTATCAGATATGATGCAGTAAGGGCTGCTTGAGACCAGTAAGGCTCGAGCAGTCTCCAATAGGTGTCTATTCTTGCGCTCAACAACCCCATTCTGTTGGGGGGTACTAGCACAAGATGACTAATGTATCAATCCAGCATCCTCCATAAACAGGTTCAAGGATCTTTCAAAACATTCAACAGCATTGTCTCGAAATTGCTTAATTTTCTTGGCAAATTGTGTTTCAATTATTTTGTAAAACACCATGGTTATCCGTAGCACTTCATCGCGTCCTTTTAACAAGTAGATCCATGTGCATCGTGAGTCACTACTCACTTGAATAATTCCGGATAAACAAAAACAAGGGGTGAAGGGCCCCAAACATCAGAGTGGACTAAATCAAAAGGAGCTTGAATTTCATTACTAGAAATTGGATAAACAGTTCTACATTGTTTTGACAGCTGACATA